AGATTTTGGTCATAAATAGGGTAAGGGTTTAGGGAAGCGGGCCGCACACCCCCACCCAACTTTTCTGGGAATACCCCTCCCCCGGGGGATATAGTATACCTCGGTGTTAAGCTTAGGGCTTTGCATTACTTAATCCAACTGAAATAACCCCGTGAATCTGGGTTCCTTAGTAAGGACTTCGCTTTCGTTTGTTAATGATCATGCTTACTGGCATAGAATGAAATCAGCGCAAAAGGATCTCATAGGCATTCAATACCGGAATGAATCTACCTTATTACATGAAATTTTCGCGACACATTTGTTTCGCGATTTTGAGGTGCACATATTTCGGGACACTTAAATTCCACGATTTGGCGAAAATTTTGTATTTTGAATCACTTAAACTTCGCGTTTTTGAGTAACCAGGAGTAACACACAACTTATTTCATACGCAATGTAACTTTAACATGTCCTTGAATTTAGTAAACCGACTTTATCAAAGGTACAATAACGCCAAAACCAACAAAGACGCAACGGCGGGACTCTATGTCAACAGTAACGTAATGTGAGTCACTTAATTTTCGCGTCATTTTATGTTCGCGACACGTATTGTTCGCGTCACACTGCAGGATTCCTATAGAAGTAACGACCCCTGTTACTTTTGGATTCAGCAGGGGGCCACTACTTCCTGGTAGCCGTTACTTTCGGATGGTTAACAAATGTTTGCCGTCTAAGGGCTAAAAAACCCCACTGGAACATACTTTTTGGAAGCTGTCCTGTCAGCATCACGTTCATCAACCGCTTTTTCCTCCTGAAATATAAAACGCATAACAACCTTCAGCATAGAGAAATAATGAAGGCTAGAAAAGAAAGATTTCTCAACAACAGGAACGAAAATCGGTTTCTAAGTGACGAAGACAAGTTTGTAAGTAATTGGCTAGTAATACTCCTAACTAAAAAAACATAACTTAAAGTTTGAAAACAAAAATGAATTTATGCAGAGAGTTACTAGACTTCAGATTACACCCTTTAGTGTAGAAATGCTTCTTTTTAAAGTACACTGCCTAATGAAAGCTTTACCAACGGCGAATGAGCCACTGAGGTAATCAATTGATGTTTGTACAAACCGTGAGTCTAGCTTCGCTTTGGCTTCTCTTCATGACATAATCTATGAAAATAAGATGATTCATGTCAGCTGTATCAATAAGTCGGCTTAGGTTATAATTAATGCGTACAGTCACATATAAACGATGAAAAAGGTCATCTTTCTCAGTAAAAACGCAGTAGGTTTGAAAATGGAGCTTTTATATCTTCGGGTGGATGGTACAAATGAAGGTTTCTACACCAAGGTCAGTGATACAACATCAATGATTATCTATTTGATTGAATCCCGAATACGGCCGACGAAGTCGTAGTCTGTTAAATATAGTTAAAAGAGCTTGGAAAGGGAAGGTTTAAAGTAACATATACATCGAGCTCCAGAGGGTGTCACGTGCCCTAAACACGATAACGCCTTGCACGGGTTTGCTAAATGCGAAAAATAGAGTTTTGCGTCATGAAACTTAACC